ACAGCCGCCACTGGGCAGTGCAGACACTGGCCGGCGGCGCCCAAGGAATACCAAGGCAACCGCCCCCGCACCCGCGGGGGCATTTTTTTATCGCGCAGGCGATACAAACCCTAGCAACGGCGCTCACGCCGGATTGGCTGGTTCGTGGAGATAGGCGCTGCCGCCGTCAACATTAGGCAGTGGTTACAATGCGAGTTCCCGAAGCGGTAGCGTAACTTAGTTGTAAGATATCTGCCTCATACGTAGCAGACCCGAATTCTATCCACGGTGTGGGCTTCTTTTTTTCTTTTTTTGCTCGAACAATTTGTTTTGTCGAGTCATTTGGCGATATTTGACATTTCTTTTTTTACGATTAACATTGAAAAAAACAAATGTTGTCGACGAAACATCGCTGAACTAAATCGAATGGGACTCTATTTACGGATGTGCATGGGGGATAGCGGGGCTTGGGTTGCCGGCTGCAAAGCGGCGTGTACGGGGGTAGAAGGCGGGGGGGGGGGGGGGGGGGCTAAGTGGGTAATTTTGTAATTAGCAGCCGCACACTGTCGCTGCAAAGCGGCGTGAACGCAGGCGGGGGGACCTGGGGGGGGGGGGGGGGGGGTTATATACGCGGCGCTGTCCGAATCCAAAATTTAAGTACTCGCGCGTTGCCGAGCAGCCAATCCGGTGTGAGCGTCGTTGCTAGGGGGTCTATCACCTGCGCCGTAAAAGTTAGTGATGAACCGAATTTCAGATTCGGCAAAGTTCCGCACGAGCCGAAATTTAGAAGGAAAGTTAGGTAAAAATTCGGTAAAAATTCGGCAAATGCGCCTGCGCGCGCGCACGAACGCGACGGGGCCATGGATCGCAAATGGACGCCGCGCAGTCGCGCGGTTACCATCGTACAGTTACAACCAGCGGTTACGGCGAGGTGTGGAGTAGGCGACACGGTAACTGTGCGTTTCTGAGCTTTTGCGAGTGTGGTTCTCTTCAATACTTTCTGCCGCAAGAACAGAAGATCGACCAGTAATTTACGCAGTCCAGTGCGCAAGTGACAAATGATGCGATGCATTCTGGATAACGTGATTTTCATTTGACCTTTCCATTAATGAAACGAGGTAGTTGAAACATTGACTCACAATTGACAATTACGCTCAGTGTTCGCAACCCACTGCCGTCAAACGGGGCAGAGTCACGAGAGTTTATCATAATGTATGGAATGCAGGTGGCATCCTCGTCATAATATGATATATATTTTCGCCCTTCTTTTCTTTCCTTTCTACGCACTTTTACATATCGGTTTTGTTTTTTCACACGTGGTGGCGGGCTGGCAGGCGCTCTGCGTAAGGGTTTTCACCCATCTGCCTAGCCCGGGCCGCACACCACCACATAGGCCCCCTCCAGTTTGTGAAAATGAAATTATTATTATTAATATTAATATTATTATTATTATTACTATAACAGTCCTATTTTCGGCTCACAAGTAGTTTGTGCCAAAACTGAATTATATTGCTTTTTAGTTCGCGTTATTTTGCGATTTTCATGTATCTGCATAAAACTAAACACATAACTATCTATCATGCTCGACGTTGCACATTCGACATTCCTAACTCTCCTCGTCTTTCTAAACGTTCGAGTGTGTCCTAACACCAGAAACCAGAATTTTAAAGGTTAAAAAAGGCACGTTGTGAATATGGAACGCACACTTTCATGCAAAGCTGACGTCAAGTGACTCAAATCGAAAAACATGCATATTTACAATTCTTCTGGTGAAGGCTCAGCAACCGTTGCATTTATTTGCGTGCACGAACCGGCGACTCCCAGAGAAAGTAAGAACGCAGTGATTGCCTTTGCTTTAACAATGGAAACACACCTGCAAGCGTGCGCTGATGAAGTCTCAAAATCAAAACTCTGGTAGCGTCATTCGTAACTGCGCCGGCGGCGGCTACTGCCCAACCTCGTTGTCACGCCACTTTCTGGAAGCAGACACTAAAATTGCAAGTAAACACACCAAAGCGGCACCGATACACTTATCTTGCAGAATATCACCTTATTTAGTAATAACTGCGTCAATAGCAAATACATGTCGTATTTAAGTTAAGAAAAGAAAAAGATACACCTTTTTCGTGAGAAAAAACTAAATATCAGAGTTAAGTCTGGAAAATAGCTAACGTAACACCTGTTCACAAAACCGGTGATCGCCAACAAATAAGTAATTACCGTCCCATCTCTCTCACCAGTGTTCCATCTAAGCTCATGGAGCATATACTTTACTCAAATATAATAAACTTTCTTGACTCTCATAACCTTCTTTTTGAACATCAGCACAGATTTCGTAAATCTTACCCTTGCGAAACCCAGCTAACCGCCTTCCTTACTGATATTTATTCAAGCTTCGACTCGAATATTTAGACCGACGCCATTTTCACTGACTTCTCCAAAGCATTCGAAAAAGTACCACACCACCGTCTTTTAACAAAGCTTAACGATATTAATAGTCATCCCTCTGTTGTTAAGTGTATTTCTGAATTCCTAACTCGCCGTAAGCAATATTCCTCCGCTAAAAATGTAAAATCTCCCACCTCTACCGTAACGTCAGGCGTCCATCCACTGTGCGCCTGTTCGCCGATGATTGTGTCATTTACCGACCCATTCTTTCATACCATGATCATCATGCTCTCCAGGAAGGCCTTGAGTTTGTAATTCATTGGTGTGAAAAATGGCAGATGACGGTAGACTTTAATAAATGCAGATCCCTATCATTTTTCCGCAGTTCGCGTGCCCACACGATTTCCGTATTACCTAAATAACACTCAAGTAATAGCATGCTCATCTTATAAATACCTGGGTGTTCATCTCACCTCTGACCTATCATGGACTATACTCACATAACTTCTGTAATTTCTGCTACTAACCGTTCTTTCGGATATTTGTGCCCTAACCTCAAACTTGCTACACGCTCCGCAAAACGACTAGCATATACTACTCTTATGAGATCGAAGTTATAATATGCCTCATCTATATGGTCCCCATGGCAATCTTGCCTTGCATATAATCTAGAATCCGTCCAAAACAGAGCCCTTATTCGATTTATTTATAATAATTACTCACAATATGCCGGCATGTCAGGATTACGCCAATCAGCTAACCTTCATTCACTTTCCCTTCGCCGCCAAATATCACGCCTTTCTCTCCTCCATCGAATTTCTTATCACATTAGCCACCTCAAAGCATCACTGCTACACCTCCTCATCGTATTTTCCCGCGTTTAGATCACCTATGCAAATTACGTCCAATTCGATCATCTACTGTTTCTGACCAGACTTCCACACTACCATTGGCCATCGAGGATTGGAATTCACTACTTCATAACATCGTCACTCTAAGTGATTCTACTAAATTTGTTGAAGCCATTACCCTCTCTTTATCTAACCTACCTTGCTAGCTTACAGTGTCATAATTGTGTTTACTGTTCTATTTGTTTTTGTTCTATTGCAACCCCCTTGTATAATGCCCCAGGGGCCCTCAAGGAAAATAAATGATGATGATGTCGATGAACAGTGTATTTTTGGGAAATCTCTGCCGAATCTTTAGAAGAATTCGGCAAAAGATAGGCTCCGCCGAATCCCAATATTCGGCAAAACTAATAAAAATATGCGACCCGGGGGAGGGGGGGGGGGTTTGCCTTCCCCCCCCCCCCCCCACTAAAAAACTAGTTGATACGCCACTGACTATTTGGCACCTTTGATTACTTTTACTGATTGATTTTTCATTGTTTTATAAATTGCAGCCACTTGCTTATCAGATGCTTTTAGGGAATATACAATATAGGCTGAAAACAAGACTGATAGTCGAAGGTCGGCGAAAACAGGAAACCGGTCACAGCGGACCGCCTATCCCAGCCTGATTAGTGATAGCCTGTACAGCCGAGGCAAGTTGTGAAAAGCTCTAGAGCGAACTTGATCCGTTTAAATTTCCGTCTATACGCGACATCTGAACCACTAATATCTACTATAGGGGGCTGGATAGCACACAGTTGATCTCCGTGCCTGGCTAAGCCGAAATCACCGGAAGTTCAATCAATACCTGTGCATTGAACTTCCGATGTGCTGGAACTTCATGCTGGGCATTCAGTCACTGCTTTCGTGCATTCAGTCAATGGTTTTTTGTTCATGCTTTCTTGTGTATTTTAGTAGGTTTTATAACAATATTTTGAATTAAATTTCGATACTAAGGCATTTGAATGTCGGACATACGCACACTTGTGCATATGTCCGACTAGAGCATATGCACACTTGTGCATGTGTCCGCAACAAGCAGGATTTCTTGAGATGACAAGAAAAAAATCCAGCGTCCTGGACGCTGTTCAAATTAGCACCCAGAAGAGTTGAAACGCTTGCGAAGCGCTCACTTCCGGGACAAGCCGCTTAGTTCCGGCGGCTTCAAACCGGTTTGCTGAATCTGCCATCCAGCTCCCTAGTGGAGATCAGAGGTTTTCACCGGCCCAAGAATAAGGCCTGTTCGCAAACCCGCGTTTGCTTACGGCCGACTTCTTTCGATTTCTTACAACGAGAGAACAGGCTGGTACGCTGACGCTATCTATGAGGTGGCCCTGAAACTGCATTTTACTAGAGCGACGGTTTCGCGGTATATGCGAGTTCAAAGCCACGTACTGTCAATGAGAAAAGCTGGTTTATAAACACTGTCAAACGTCTTTTTTTTTCGAGCCAAGAATTAAAGAACAATAGGCGAAAAAAAAAAAAAGGAAAGATACGGAAACGTTCAGTGTTCCACATCTACCCGATAGATGGTACCAGTGAATTCTCTTGTCGTAAGGGACCCCAAGAAGTTTTAAGGCACTAGATTGACATCAGTCGCAAGGGTGTGAGCCAGCGTTATGAGTGATACGAATGGACGACGTCTTTAGGACTACCCTTGCCATTATTTTTTCATCCTCGGTGTTTTTGCGCCTAGAGTGTAACTTCTACTATAATCCTAGAATCTATTCTTCTTTTATTTAGATCCCCAAGCGACACCACAATCTCATATGGATATCTCAACGTTGGCGGTGGTAATGGCGCTCTTCGCCGTAACGGCGGTGAGCGCAGTCTGGTGGGTGCTGAACCGTCGCCACCAGCAGGGACTGTTCCGGAGACATGGCATCCCTGGACCCAGGCCCGATCTTCTGGACGGCAACTGGGCTCAACTCAAGGAAGACCGGATTGAGGTGGGCTCCCGTGGCAGCAGAGTTTGGAGCGACCCCGCTCCGCTGCTCCGCGACACGTACAGTCGGAAATCGCACGACGGGCCTAGAAATCACCAAACCATTACATGGTGTAATTCCCACTCCCGTCAAATTCTAAGTAGAAAACCGTTTTCCCGGCGCATTTTCATCTGATGCTATGAGCGTCAAATGTCCTCCGTTAGCAATAGACGATCTACAAAGCTGCTTGGAGGTCTGGTAACACTCTGTGCGAGGCTATCTTGGTAGTGTCGAATTTTTTTAGTTTTGGTCTCTCGGCATTTCGATGGCAGTAACGCTATGCCAAAAAGTGGGGTAGCCGATTTGGGGTTTTCAGACTTTCGGGGATAGCCCAGCGAAACGGAGGACTAGGCCGTCGTTTCTTTTACTTAAAAAAAAAATGTTTCCAACTTTTTTTTTTTTTGTGAGTGAAAGCGCAAGAAGAAAACGTACTTCTTAACGCAGTCTATTCCCGCATTATCTCTACTCTACATCAATACATGTGACTTCCATTTATTAGGGGCCGGGGGGGGGGGGGGGTGTTTGAAAGCTTCAATCGATGGAAATACTTGCCCTGATAGCGCAAGTTGCCCCACCGTATTCTCTTTTAGAGGTTGCAAAGAGCTGTAGTCGGTTTTAGATTACTACGACCTCAGTAGAGCACGGATGCCTGATGTCGCGACGGTAAACGGGGATTTGTCTAGCTCCGGCAGAACGACTGCATGTCAGTATCGGTTTTGTAAACCGATATGCATTTGGCATAAACACACGCAATATGCATTTGCTGTCGTCGGTGTTGCTTGATACCGCGTCTGCAGCATCGTGATCTTTTTTGTCTCAGCCAAGAAATAAATGAAAAATTGTTTCTTTACCTTAGTGAACTTAGGCAAGCAATGTAATTAGTTGAACCTTGCGCTTGACGAAACCGCCGCCATATTCCCCTCCCCGTGTTTGTTGAGTATTTATGTTTATCCTACAATTAAAGAGTTAATGTAAACTTAAAGAACTCTTCTTGAGCGATACGTTCATGTCTCAATATTATGATAATATTTAGTTGTTGGTTAATTATTCAGCTTTTAATAGACCACGGTCAGAAGCAACATTTCTTTGGAGGAAGAAGAGCGGGAACGGAACGAGCGGCGATGTGTGCAGCAGCGCGAATGGTTCCGCAACCGCCACGAGGCCGCTATCGCCTACAGTTCCACTGCGTCGAGCGCTTCAGATTCCCTTGCAAAAGAAGAGCAGATTGCTCGCCTTGAAAGCCACCGCAGAGAACAGAAGCTACAGCTCCGCTGCTCTTCTTTCTTCACCAAAGTGGAAAGGCTGAAAGCTTTCTTTTGTTTTGCGCTTCCGACATGTCTGCAGGCAGTTTTTGTATCATCAATATGAGAGGATCGTCATGCAAGGAAGAAACGCAGACTGTGTTTGCAGACTGTCTTTTATGCGCCGTATTAGCAGTGTTTTAGCAATGCAACCTAGTTTTTCTGAATTTACTGTAGAATGTTTGTTAAAAGTACCCGAGGAGGTTTCTTGAATCGCCAAATTATGACAATAACTCACTCTGTGGTCTCTGAGCAGATTACAAAAAACAACGAATCATAACGATGCGTGGCCGATTTTTCTATTTAAGAAAAAAAAGAAAACGATCGAAGATCAAACACATCGAAATTATCTCCGGCGATGAGAGGAGCATTGATCCGGCAGCCAGGACGACGTGTGTCTAAAGGAAGCGCGAGGTTTCGTTGAGAGTACGAACGATGTTACGACAAAATGTGTATGCTTTTGTAGATTCTAAAAGCAAACAAGAGTAGTCAAAAGATGTAAATTTTTTCGAGGAAACGAAACATTATACTGCAATACCAGTCTCAAGAACAAGGCACTATGTTTTGTTTTTTCTTTTTTTCCTTTTTTTTTTGTCTTCCGGGGGAGTGATGTGTCCGGTCGTAGGGTCTCGAGCGCGCACTCGCTAGGTTGAATCGTAGTTCGCATTCGAGATATCACTCCGCGGTTCCAGCCGTCAAAGTAGCGAGGATCCTTCGCTTGCTATTGACTGACAGCGGTTCTGGGTATTGGAATATGCTCCTCTCATCGTCGGAAATTACCTCGGTGTGTCCCGAGTTTTTATTGCTTTATTATCATGGAAATCGGCCGCGTATCGTCCTGATTTATAGATTTCTTAGATGCTTGGAGCCAGCAGAGGGAGTTACCGCCATATCTAGGCGATCTCAGAAACTGTTTCAGGGCACCCTCAAAACAAGAGAGCAAGTTGATATGCATTTTAATCGGGCTAACGCATTTTTTTGCTAATAATTTCTTTCTTTGAATATATTAATTATAATTAATGGGGCATTTGCATTTTGAAACGAGACATCAAATGTGAAGTTCCGTATTTTACTCTCGACAATGCTTTGGCGTCCCGGACGTCGTTGAACAAGCCCAGATGCTGCACATAGTTAATTATTTCGTTATTAGATACGGTTTACTTTCTGGGGGTCAGGATTCCTGGATGAAACCACATACAATGTAGCTCAACTATGACAGCACTGATGTGGAACTCGAAGATCCTGACGCCAACTCCTGTCCGCTTTCTGTGCTAGAACAGCAGCAGACGAAGAAACTTTCATGGCGTGCAAGTTTTTCTCTATGTTTATGTAAAAGCCGTCATAGCTTTTACATAAACATAGCAGAGTGACGTGTAACGTCACTCTGCTATTCCAGCTTCTAGCAATTGAAAATGAAGTCACTATACTTAGTTTCGTACTTACCTACCCTTACCACGCTGTTCAAGTCACTTGAGCGAGAGAATGGCTTCATCCATCGTCTCATTTCCGCGACGGAGCGTGATGCTTAGAGTCTAAATCAAGACACAGGCTTGCCTAGCATTTTTGACAGGGCTGTGCACTGTGTGCGAAACAAACTGTATACGTAGAAATAAAGCAGCACTACATTATTTAGAGCTTCCTGGAGCATGCTGCTTTGCGCTTCATAGTTACATTGTTTAGAATAAAAAAAGAACGAAAGGTAACCAGAAATGCTGAGCTCTCCAAATAGAATGAACAGATATCGATCTGTACTCCGTTCACACCTATGTTGAGACTGAGGTGGAAGCTACGTGCTCGTTACGTATACTTAAAACTATTATTTTGTGACATTTAAAAGCGAACGCTCACCAGCGTAAACAAATGACGGAACCAGAATATCGCATTCTCTTTCTTTTCGCCACTAACTCCTCATTTCTGAAAAAAGCCTCACACTCACCAAACGACATAAAAAGCGCTTCCAGAGCGCACCCTCAAGTGCTTCCTAGAAGATGGTTTCCGGTAAGCCAATCCCGCACCAAAGTATTTGGTCGCACGCCGCGTGCCGCCTCGTCTCATGCCTATTGACGGTCACATCCCGCAACATTTTGTGGATGAATTATTATCGGAAGTGTATTTAGATACTCTGCTCCGCAATTAGAATATATACACCCGCTACCTGCGCAGGTGATGGAACACTGGATCAAGGAGTACGGCAAGGTGTTCGGCTACTACGTCGGCGGAGTTCCCCACATGGTTCTCACCGACGTGGAAATGATCAAGCAGTGCTTCGTCAGGAACGTGAGCACCTTCCACGACAGGCCTCCTTTACCCATATGCACCGGTCCTTTCGCAAGCTGCATTATTGCGCTTGAAGGTAAGCGCACACCATTTCCTTATGCACGTTCCGTTTCCGGCGCTACCCCCGAAAAGCTCGCAAGGAAGTCACGGTTCAATAATATTCACGCGCCTCGTTCTACGTTTTCAACTGATAGATTATGAAATGTTTTGAAGACTATATTTGTTTTGAAAGATGTTGGAAGTTTGAAAAGTTCGGGAGTGTATGATGATCCGGGGACGACCTTTTGAAAATTACAGGCCACGGTGAAAGATGATAAAGGCGTCTGAACGGCGCCGTCTGACTGCGGAGAAAGTGTGGCGAAGGCTTGCTTGCAGTCCTGGCCAACGCCGTGAACTGGCGAAGCATGTCTGGGGGCCGTATGGGTTCAATGAGCGCCACTCGTGGACCTAGAATATGGTGGTTTAGGAGGAATGTTGTGACGAGCGCAATGGAGAGAACAGTCCCATGATACAAGCCTCGTAGTCTGTATGCGGTGCAATCAATCTCCTTGGAGTGGTTGTTGCTAGTATTCTGCCTCTGCCCCATCACGTTTTCATGAACAGAGGTAAGGCGATATCACGTGCTGTGTCAAAGACATCTGACTGATCTTATCATTTGGACACCACTTCTTGACCGGGTAGCCCTCCTAAAACTACCCCACAATTCCTGCGTTAGGGCGGGTGAAGACCACCCCACGTGTTCAAGACTTCGGTCGAACGATTCCACTGAGACCAGGGTTCTAGGAAGTTGTCCGCACACTTGTGGTGGCGTAAAATTACGGCAAGTTTGAAACAATTTGTCGCACCTCGATTGGAATGGTTGCGAAAATCATCCGCGACAGCTAGAGTTTTCTTCCGCCGGATCTTGGGCAGAAAATATCGACCAACGATCGTGACAGTGGGAAGCAGTGCCAGAGAGAGGACAGTAAAAAGATCGGCAATTCAGACCTTCGCTAGAATATCGAGAAGTCTTCCAGATTTGAAATTTTGCGCCTTCTTCGCGAGGGACACTTTGACGTTGATAAGACTAAGGCACGACCTAAAAACGCAATGTGGTGAACTGAAATCATGAAAGATATCGAAGAAAAAATACACCGCTGGTGATCATTACATCAACATATATAAACGCAACAAAAAAAAAGCCGCCAATAACCAAAATAACTCTCTCGCAAACCTAGGCAACACGTGACCTGGGTAACAGTCCTAGGCAACGAATTGGGCAACAAACCTAGGCAATTAAGAGACTAAGCAACAGACCCTCATCCACAAGCTAGATGTAAACCATCATCACTATTTTTTTTAACATTATCTGTAAAATAATATTTTATTATCACTAGACGCGGCGCCACAGGCTTTCACAGTCTAGGGAACTTGCCTTTCTGCGGCGCCGCAGCTCTCCTGTGCCAAAATCAATATTAATATCAATGTCAACAAGCAAGGGTCGTATAAGTCGTGACCGACAATTTCTTCGTATATCCAGAAATCGCTCGCTTGCAGAAGGCAGCCGCGTAAGTCGTTGTGGGTGAGTTACTGCAAGTCCATCTTCGTTCAATATGGCATTCGAAAAGTTGTCATCTCAGACAATGGTCCACAATTTTCACGAGCACCAATCTCAAAGTTCGCCACCATTGCTAGGATATACAGCTTCGGACAGATAACGTCGAGCTTTTGCGATCCACAAAGCAGCCAACTTCAGGAAATTGGAGTGAAAATATTGAAGACCTCCATGAAGATCATAAGTGATCATTATGAGAGATTTCTTCCCATCAACTACACACCAATTAGAACTTTCCTGCTATAGAGGGTGTTTTTGTTTGTATTTTAAACTTGCATGATTTGTTGAAAAAACCCTTGAGAGCTAGACCAACGCGGTTTGTGCATGTGAGTTATATGAACTGGGAGACCTAAAATAAGGGTCTAATCGTGACGATCAGTCAGCCAAATAACTAAATTATGTTAACTTTTTAATTGTTGAAATTAATCATATGGTTCTCACTAGAAATTTGCTGATCATAGAAAACCAGTGAATCATATTAGAAAGACTTGGAGCATGTGAGAAGCACGGCAGAGCGCTAAAGTTACCACTCGTTCAGCACGAGCGAGGCAACCGGTGCGATAACGCGCCCGTGCAGTTTTTCTGTCTCTTATCATAGCCCCAGCCTTGTGCCTGCTGCATGAATGGTAACTTGAGCGCGATACTGCGCTTTCCACGGGCTCAAAGCATTTCTAATATTGACTGGTTTAGTGGTTTTCAATGATGCTCAGCAAGCTGCTCATTCGAAGCATCTGTTTATAGTATTTTCACTAATTAAAACGGAAATTCACGTATTTTAGTCAATCACTTCACATGTTATGACGATTAACTTCTATATATGCCCCCCACGGCCGTGTGACTCACGTGCACAATCCGCGTTAGTGTAGCTTTCACGGCCTTTTGTGAGCAAATCTGTTAAGCATAAAAAACAACTTGTATTTAGTAGAGAAACGCGTCCCAGTATATTGTTGTTAAAATTATTGATGTGTGTCATGTATTAGTTACATTAGAAAGAATGGGGATATAATTGAGGCCTGTTCACACATACAGCAGAGCGCTATGTCAGCGCCACGCGAGCGCTCGACAGAGCGCTCATGTGGCGCTTCCTAGCGCGTGACATTGTTCTAATATAGCGCGCGATTAACGCTTTTATAACGCCTTGTTAGCGCTTTACTAAGGTGCCTTCATGCGTGCTTTGCTTAGGGTGGAGACATCTGGCCATTTTGTCCCACACTTTTACAGAGCAGCTGTTAAGGGCTAGTTTCCCCAGGATCGAGTCTCCGCAAAGAAATCTCGACACAAAACTCTGGATAGCTACCGCCATTTATGAGCGACGGTGGCAACCAGACAACCGGTTTGCCGACCTCGCTCATAGATGGGGGCTACTTTTCCAGTCTTTTAGAGTGCCTTCATTTGCCGGCCGCTTCGCTGACAGGGTGGAGACACCCTCCATTTCGTGGCGAACTTTGCGATGCTTTCACCGGCGTCGTATTGCGTCTATCTTTCCAGAACTTTCGCTAAACAGAACGTTTTTGCACAATGACTTTATCACACAAACTCTACAGGACCCACACCCAATGTTGAGCTAATACTGAGCTCAGGCGCCATATTTTGGCGCTCCATTGGCTCCCTTGGTGTCTCCACCCTGTCAGCGGAAGTGGCCGGCAGACGGGGTCACCCTACAGCCTTTCCACTCTGGTGAAAACCAGAGTGGAGAGGCTGAATTTCTCTAGGCTTCGTCCTAGATGTCGTCCTCGAGGTCGTCCTAGAAGTTCCTTGAGGTCGTCCTAGAAATCGTCCTTGAGGTCGTCCTAGACGTTGTCCACAAGGTTGTCCTAGAAGTCGCCCTCAAGGTCGTCCTTGAGGTCGCCATAGATGTCGTTCCTGAAGTTGTCTTCGAGGTCGGACTAGACGTCGTCTTTGAGGTCGTCCTAGACGTCGTCCTCTAGGCGTCGTCCTTGAGGTCGTCTCATCTTAGTACAGCTTCGCTGGTCTTCCTTCTTCACCAGACTGAAAAGGCTGAAAGTTTTTATTTTTATTTTTTGTTCGGAAGCGCGTGAAAGAGCGTGTCCCTGCACGCGTTTGTGGCCCTGACTGTGCTTTGGCCACATTTTGTTTTCGTCGATTTCTTTGTATTTTACCCATTAGCGCGTGCTGTCGGCATCGGGTGCTAAAAAGGGTGGCATCACCCTAAACAGGAGGAGATTGAAGGATTGACATTCTGTTTAGGGTGATGCCAAAAAGTGGCATCACCTTAAACAAAATGTCCTTCTGTTTAGGGTGATGCCATCTTTTGTAGTACCCGATGCCGAAAACAAGCGCTCACGAGAAAAATACAAAGAAATGGACGAAAACAAACTGTCACCATATCACAGTGTGCGCCACAAATGTGTGCCGGGACGAGCTCTTTCATGCGCTACTGAACAAAAAAAAAAAATAAGCGTGTACGACAAAATGGCGAGACGCCACCACCCTAAGCAAAGTGCACAAGAAGTCACCCCAGTAGCGCCTTGTTAGCGCTTCTTTTACCGCGGTTACTGCTGCGGATTAGCGCGTGCACTGCGGCTCCGGTTCTTGTGGTTGGGTGTGCATCAGCATCACCATAGCGGACATCTGGGACGCTGAAATAGAACCGCGATAGATCCTGTTACATAGGCAATTAGTGCATATGTGTGTGGACGCCCAGAAGATTCTTCTCGGTACGCGAAATCTTTCGCCACCGGGATACCGACGGGTACCCGGAGAACCTTGTTTTCAGGCTGAGGCACCGAGACACAGAGCTCTTTCGGAGGTGATTATTTTTCAACTGCGTGTCTTTGAAACAAGGGTCACGCATGTCGGTCGTACCCAATCAATTAGTCGCTCGAAGTCAATGACTCTGGATCGTCTGCCCGACCGTTTGCTTGGAGAGCGGCACTCTTACTTTCTCTTCTTTCACCACCAAAGGACAAACAACAACAACGGAATCGCCGTGCACGCGCTGTTCCGCAACAGCAAGAACCGCACAAGGAGCGTGAGAACGCTTACACTGCGCTGCTGAAGCGTTAACCGAGCGCTGCTGAAGAGCTAACCGAGCGCCTGCTGAAGCGCTGCTCAAGCGCTAACCGAGCGCTACGTCACGCGCAAGTCGGTGCCACATGAGCACAGCTCCGAGCGCTCATGAGGCGTTAACTTGCCGCTCCGCTCTATCTGTGAACCGGCCTTTAGGTATTCATTTAATTGCGGAAAATTGGCGCAAAAACCACGCAGCGCTGGGGCAGAGATAATATATTAAGGGTGCAGGCGAGCTTGTGAATGTTAATTATGTTGAATAAACCTGAGACTGGGGCAGAAATGCACACATAAGTCGAAGGAACAGAAAAGGACAGGACGACGTCCCACACCCAGTGCACCAAGCCCAACGGATGTTTGAAAAGGTGCAAACGATCGCAAATGTTGTCTCACACTCATTTTGAAGCAGCCGAAGAAAAAATCTATTTTTTTCTTGAATACATTACTTGCAAGAGCTTGGCATTTCACCTATCTGAATGAAAGCACCATTTAATGGGCAGAGGTATGTGTAACGTTTGTATTAAACCGCAAATGTAGGAAAGTCGGTAGGTGCGTGGTATCATGTGCACACATTAATGGGAACATGCATAAGCGACAGCATTGTATATGTTTTTTTTTTCATTTACTGCATCAATTTATGTACACCTGTCTCTGTTTGTATACATTGGACACAAAGTCAGTAGCTTCGATGAAACAAACATGGAAATAACATTGATGGCAAATGCTAGCGTCTCACACTCATGTTGGAGCAGCCGAAGAAAAAACTTAATTTTTTTCTTTATTACATTACTCGCAAGAGCCTGTCATTCACCCATCTGAATAAAATCAGCATTTAATGGGCACAGGCATGTGTAACGTGTGAATAGTTTGAAAATTCGAAAGGTGCATGGAATTATGCGCACATATTTATGGGAAAATGCATAGGTGACTGCGCTATATATGTGGTTTACTTTTGTTATTCATTGTATCCATTTATGTAAATCCGCCTTTGTTTGCAGGCATTTGATGAAAAGTCAGTAGCGTTGATAAAACAAACTAGAAAATAACATTGATGGCCTCGCTGTCCAACACCATGTGAATGACCAAGAAGTACCGATATGCTGCAGGTGACGAGTGGAAAAAAATACGTGCGGTGCTGAACCCCTGCTTCAGCGCTTCCAAGATGAAGCTGATGACGCAGATCATGGGCTCGTGTGCTGATGCCATGATCGAGGTGGTGGAGGATCACGTCAAAAAAGGAGAGACGGTGGAGATGTACCGTGTGTCGCAAGGTCTTTCCCTGGACGTCATCGCCAAGTGTGCTTTTGCTTGGCAGGTCAGTCACCGCTTGATAAAAGTACAGATCTTCTTTCGTGGTTACGAACTCCAGAACCTGTTGAATTGTTTTTAATGTTACTGAACAGGTTGAACCTTTTGAAACTAATAATTTTACAAGATCGTACTAAATGGGACACTGAACTTCAAAAGTGAGCCAATTAAAGGTAAACTGAACCAAGGGAGCTATATTGCAAGCATCGGCGTATATTTGTGGCGTGCCAGTGATATCTTTCTATTGATTAGAGTGCCCTTTATATACCTTGGTGGCAATCCGAAAATGCGGATGATAATCTTAATATTTGTTGTTGTTGTTTTTTGCACTGCCAGCCTTGCGCGTGTTGCACGAGTAGTAACCAGAGCACCCGCACCTTTTCCACCTGCTTTCAATATTTCTCGAATTCACTAATTTAGGTTTTTTTTTTTATTTCGCTCTAGCGTTCTGCAAGTTTTTAATTGTTTCTAATTTCTAATTGCCTTCTCATACGAAATCCGTTGTATATTTTTTGGGGGGGGGGGTGTCCAATTCAGCTGTTGCTAGTTAAGACTAAAGCTTTGGCTAGCTGGGCCATCATGCCTAGAGCGGTAAGTATATTGCGCACAAAAGACAACACGGAAGAAGGTAGAACACTCACAGCACTAACTTCCAACTGAAGTATGTACAGACTCGTACGATGTGAAAAATCCTAAGCGAGCCAATCTCCAAAAATCTCTTGAAATTTCTAAAGGAAGCAAATTCAGCTATATTTGAGGCTATTTTGTGCGCGAGCTGCATTTCAGCGGCTGTTCAAATTCTGTCCTTATTTTCCACTTGGTCGGCTAGCGATTCCTGTGCCAACACCAATTTAGGAGCAGTTCTTTGGATAAGGTTTGTGGTGTTCCAGTACCAAAAGACAAGCCTTTGAAAAAAAAGTATTGCTTGGTGAAATAAAATAAAAACCAGTTATCCTCTTTCGTCCAGGTAAGTTTAAGCACCCCAAAACACATCGCTCAACATGCCGACCCTGACAACAAAAAGACAAATCAACCGCTGCTCAAACTAGAGAAGCGGTTGATTTGGCTTTTTGTCGTCGACCGTCTTTAAAACCGTCGCTTAAATCAGCATTAACTCAGCGACAGCGGTTGAAACGGAGGGTAACAATTTATTTATTATTTTATTTCTTATTTTAAAATACTGCCAGTCCCAAGATGGAGTTTAGCGGGAAAGGATACAAAATAGAATAAAATTGCATGCATAATATTTGGGACTTCAATAAAAAGTTTAACAGCCGCTAAAGCAGTTTGGATTCATTCTCACAGATGCTGCTGCAAGCCTTCTAAGCCAAACGCTCGCTCGGGATTTTTCACTGTTTCATTTCATTTCATTTACCTGAATGGCGTGTTTTAAAGACGCATTACATGAGGGGGTGGGCGGTAAAATCGATTGATAAAAACATGATCACACCATATGTAATAAAAAAAGAACAAGTTGCGAAATCAGGTTAACACGTTGCACAGAACTCCTTTTCGACTTAACATAAAAACGAAATACTTAAAATAAGACAAATTATAGAGATTCTCCTCGGGACGCAGGCGCTGGCACGTTTCTATAAATGACTCATGATTTGTGTTAGGAACCACCTGGTCACGCCAGTCTTTCCATTCTGTAATCTACAGTATGAGGGGAGAAAAAAAATGTTAGCGTGAGAGCGGAACTGCGACTGTACTGCAAAATCCGTTGTATACATGCCAGCAATAACAAGATACATGGCACACATAAATAAGTGCCTCCTTGAACACTCGCGCGTGTCATCTGTGCATATCTAGATACAGAATCCTTCTAGGATAATAGCAATGAAGAAAGTACATAAAGAAAGTAAACCAAATCATGAGCCATTCCACTCTCCACCGAAGCTGTTTAGCACACGGCACAAACGTGACACGGAATTTTGAACAAAAGTACGAACACATGTATTGTCTTGATCGGTGGTCATTGTGACGAAATGTAATCAAACACATTTATTGTGGTCTTGATCGGTGCTCCTTATTTGGCATGGACGACTATCTCCGCCCAGAGGAGCCGATGGAAACTAGACACGCGCGACAAGATTGCCACCCGGCGAAAGTAAACACACGCGAGGGGACCGCCACCTCGGTAGAGCGGATGAAAAGGAAACTAAGCACGACAAAGACGACAAAGAGAGGGCGGTGCGAGCGTAGACATGGCCGACGCGGGTCGGAGAGCGGCAAATCTTTGAGAAACCTTTATTATCTATCTGAAAGTTTACTGATCTTGAAAATGGCGCATATTGATAACTAATCTACTGAAAATGCATGTCCAAGGGATGAGACGTATAAGCTTTTGCATAAAATGAAGCGATTTTGCATCAAATTCGCTACCTGAGTTTTTGTAAACGCACACAAAAAATCCAAGGAACCCTAGCAATAAACAGCTTCGCTGTAGAATACCCTGTCAACGATAATCTGAGCAAGTGTACAGATATGAAGAAAAGTCGCCGCATAACTCCGTACATTCACAGGGTTTCACATTATCTCGGGAAATCAATGCGCGAATCAATTTTAACCTTTCCTTTCTTCTTTTTTTTGGGGGGGTTTAGTATGTTGTCCCGGCTTTGCAAACACAAGTCGGATCGACCTGGCAAATAGGCACAGGGTTGTTACAAAAAATATAAAAACTGTTTTGCTGATTGCACCACGGGCGAAGTCTTTTTCAGCTCCCTGTACCTTGTAAAGCAGTACATTGGCCATACAGGCAGACGAGTTAAATATCGCTTTAATCAGCGGCCCCACTGCTATTATGCAGACACTGCCTGAGACAGGATTGTTCCCTGTATGATGAATCCAATCTCATTTGTCATACAAAAAGACTGCTTGCAGACATGTTCGACGCATACACATGTCTGAAAAAAAAATGCTTTAAACATGGTTGAGGCTTGACCGCAATTAATTACGTCATCATGTCTGCGGCGGACGCCATGTCTTTGTATACAATGTATGCGTAGTGTGACTCTCGATTAAGAGAACCTAAATATATAACGTACAAAACTGCTACCACGCCACCTCGGCATGCACTGCCACAATTGCGGTTGCGAGGTATTTCTGCGTCGCAACCAAAAATGATGCTGAAATGTGTTATATTAGCGAGAGCTTACAATCGGGGTACCTGATAAATAATCTAAGCTAAAGCATTCGCGTACCTGAAAAAAAACATTGTCACCGCTAAGTAATTTTTTTTTTTTTTTATCCCGTAGGGAACGAATGTATCCAGATAGGTAGGGGTGATTTCCCGAGGGTTCCAAGATGCTTTTTTTCCGATTTTATGTAACTTGTTTTGCTCGTATAGATTCCACAATCTCGAAAAAAGATACTCTTAGCAAGTTGTACTTCGTTTTCCTTTTTAAGTCTGGACGCAGCCGACGCTCCGAGCTGGTAGGACCAATCGCAGCATGAAAAGTGCAAGGCACAGGGTCTTCTTTGCAACACGTAGAGACACGTGACAACCACCATAATGTCGCGCCTTTTCGCGCTGTTTGATTGGTCCAATTGGCTGGTGGCTTCGGCTGAGTCTTGACTTAAGGTGAAAGAGATCATAGTGCTGTGTGGGTTCTACTTTCTTTCGTGTTGTCTTTTGTGCGCCCTTTACTCATAGTATTTGCTAGTCTTATATGAAATAGGGTCCACGTGTAGTCAACTATACGCAGCTTTGAAAAGATATCAATTTACGTGTCATTCAGCAATATTACGAAAAACGTGCCATAAAACAATTATATCTTTCAAGCGTCTTTACTGACATCGATTATGCATATTATACATAGTCATGTACTGGTTTCTGAGGCTAAAGCCAAGTAAACTTGTCAAAAAATAAAACATAAATATTCTCAATTTTTATTGTCTCTCCCGTACTGTGAAATCATAGTCCATGCTTTTGCTACATGCGGTAAGAAACATGAATTACTTAAGGTTGTTTTGCACGTTATTTAATGTTCCATATCGAGGGATATATTTTGTGCTGTGCAGTTATGCAGCCCACAAAGTATACGTTCCTTCTAATAAGCCATATACATTCTCTTCTTCTATTGATAGGTGGATTGCCAGAAGAATCCTAACGACCCACTGTTGCTGAGCATACGAAAAATGTTCGTAGAAGCAGACGACGGCATTCTTCGTCATGCCATTCGATTTCCAATTTTGTGCAAAATAATTACCAGCTTGATTTCCTTCACGAGTTACATCAAAACGTTGACGCGAATCTTTGACAACGTCCGTCAGGTCATTGAACTTCGCCGAAAAGGTCAAAGCCCCAGGACAACCGACATGCTACAGATGATGCTCGACGCCCAGGCTGGCATCCTGGACAACACCAACAACACGGGCGAAAGAAAAAAACTCATGGAAGACCGTCATCTTGTCGGCAATTGCTTCATCTTCTTGGCCGCAGGCTATGAAACAACGGCTACGTCGCTCGCCTTCGTCATCCACCTGCTGGCCAAGTATCCTGAAGAGCAAGACCGAATCTTGAAAGAACTTAACAAAGTGTTCCCGGAAAAAGACCAGGATCTGACATACGACGGCGTCCAAGAGCTCAAGCGTCTCGACATGGTCATTTGCGAAAGTCTGCGCCTGTACCCTCCTGTCGTCCTCTTCGTCAGCAGACATTGTCGACAGGACACCACAATCATGGGACAGTTCATTCCGGCTGAAGCAAATATCATGGTTCCTACATGGCACATTCACCACGACCCTGAACACTGGTCAGAGCCTTTCAAGTTTGATCCAGAGCGATTCGCCGAAGGACTGAACGGCAGTCAATCTGCAGCGTACTTGCCCTTTGGATTAGGGCCCCGAGTGTGCATCGGGAAGAGGTTCGCTCTGCTCGAAATTAAGATGGCACTGTGCAAATTGATTCGCAAGTACAGGATCAGGCAATGCAAGGAAACTCAGGACCCAGTGAAACTGGTAGTTCCCACCGCGGCAATCAACCCGGAGAAAGGAATCAGCGTTAAATTTGAGCACAGGTAGCTCTCGTACACTCTTAGAAAAAAAAGGTTTATATAGTCCTCCCTAAAGAGGGAACGCTCTCGTAACCATTCTTCCTTCAAAAAAGAAGAAACTGTTGTGCCTGAAAGCAAGGGAGCAAAGTTTCTTCGTCGCCTGCCTCTCAATATGGCGGCCCCGAGTCGAGCAAATCTGGGTCAATAAAGCTTAACGAGGAGGTACGTCTGTTCTAGGGGGCGAGAGGAGCAGAAAATAAAAGCGTAACACGGGCTTCCCTCGAACTGCATTTATCTCCGAAGCCACCTTCCCTGTAGGTAAAAAAACTTGCGTTTCGGTAGCAGTCACTCATTTTTATCGTCGTCAGCACTGCGATGTTAAACGGAGACAACCGATACCCGGGTACCTCGCGCACTTTACGTCTTACCTTTGCTATTCCTCGAGCCACAATTCCTTCGTTTGCACCGCACATGATGGAGGAGTGGTAAAGCATTTGCAAAACCAAAAGCCGCACTCAAAAGAACAAATTCGAGGCAGCCCGCTTCGCTTATGTTTGCACGGTACCGCGAAGCGTGAAAGAAGCTTAAATCGCTCGCCACGAGATGGCAAGGTCAAGCGGAGTAGTTGCAAGTAGCTCGGCCAGGTGGCAAAAAATGTCCCAATTCGTGTGCTACAAAAATAGTTTTATTTGATGACGCCATCATTGCTCTTGGGGCACGTTTATTGCCTTTATTAGTGCTCAAATAGATACATTACGCGTACCATAAACATCCGCCAAACATATACAACGAGCTCATACTCATACACGGTACATACAAACACCACTACAAGAGCCACATTTCTTTTTTTCCCTAAAACAGCACCTTAACCCGATTACTCCTTCGGAGCTCTGCGTATCCGGCTTCTATATTCATCGTTTTGAAGGCATGCATTTTGACGGTGATCAACTAAGCAACAAATAATATTCCCAGCATGATCAATTCTCTTTTCAGTAATGTCATACCTCTGAAAGTATTTTGAACGTCTTGAATGATGAATCACTTAGTAAAAAAAAAAAAACTTTCAGCCGTTCCACTTTGGTGAAGAAAAAATCAGAGCAGCGGAGCTGTAGCTTCTGTTCTCGGCAGTAGCTTTCCAGGCGAGCGATTTGCTCTTCTTTCGCAAGGAAATCTGAAGCGCTCGACGCAGTGGGGCTTCTGGCGATAGCGGCCTCGCGTCGGATGCGGAACCATTCGCGCTGCTGCACACATTGCCGCTCGTTCCGTTTTCGCTCTTCTTCCTCCGAAGAAATGTTGTCGCCATCTATGAGCGACGGCAGCAACCAATTGTCCGGTTGCCGAGGCTGGAAAGGTTGACGCGATCTATGAGCGACGGCGGCAATCAGACAACTGGCAAACACAACACTCTGTACAGCTACTGCCATCTATGAGCGACGGCGGCAACCAGAGTTTTGTGTGGACCATGGGTGTCGACATTAGTTTGATACCGGACACGATCCTGGGGAAACTGGCCCTTAACAGCTCCGCTGTAAAAAAGTAAACGATCATACTATAATTATTTGAAAGCCAATAATACAAGCCGCTCCACTGCGGTTCCAAGCCATGTTTATGCTTTCCCGCACAGCATGTCGTAGCCAGCTTTTCTATCGTAGTGTGTGTTCCTCTATGTGGGCTGTTCGTGTACAGCTGCAACTGTCGTCTTGAATTAATCTTCACCGACAGAGATATCGCATTTCGATCAATATGAATGCGTCAAAGACGCGACTTGCGGCAGGTGTTAAGTGTATGGAGCTACGTCGTGGTGAGCACGAAAACTTCTAGAGCTCATCCCAGCGCGAATATTGGAGGGCAGTTTCTCTAGGAACTGTAGTATATTTAACAGCAAAATAAGGAACAGCTTTTTTGACAATATTAGCATCCTCCCTCAATTATAAAATCCCAAGCTGTAAATATGTGTACTTTACAAAATATTTCAAGACTGCTCAGTCCTTCCCCCAGAGCGCAATCGCTCTCGGGGAGAGGATAACTGGATAACGCAGATGACAGTCACATTGGCCACTATATGATGGGAGCTGGATCGGGCAAGCGTTCCAACATAACTATCCGCAGGTCGATCGATTGCACCGTAATACCTCAAGCGGTCTTAGACTCTTTAAAGGGACACTGACGGGGTATTTATGCTAGCCGAGGCTTTTATTTATGCATAACACATGAGAGCCCAACTACTCAGAAGCCAAATTGCGGCTCAAAATTCGTTTTTATTTCTTTTTATTTTCCACCCGTAAACCGCCGCTCGAGATCTGGCCGGTTTGAGTCGCCCTTACTCCCCTCTTTGCGAACGCGTGCCATTTTCTATGGTTTATACACAACCGCCAAATATAATCAACGTCGTGGGTCATTGAAGGCACATACTCAATTTTAAGATTAGAAAAAGAACTATGATACCGATGTTTTGTGGCTTCTAAAAAGCGTCATATACGTTGATTGAAAATATTGTTGGGTAGTCATCTGACGAAGCTATGAATCACCAGGCAATAGAATAAAAACAAACTTTTTACGGCGTGTAAGTGAACATTTATGTAAATCAGAATGTCAACCTGCGACACCCCGCCCCCTCCGATCATGGCCAGACCAGCGGCATCAATGCCCGACAGTTTACGTCATCTCATCTTGCTGTCACACCACTGATACGCGAGCACACGGTCACATCGGCGACAATGTAAAGTCTTCGTAAATCCTTCTCGCCGTCCCACAACGCTCTCCGCAACCCGCTACGACGCCCGGAACTCTGCAGTCAAGGCCGTCGGCGCGCAGGCGCAGCTGTTGGAAAACCTTGACGATGGAAAGAAAATGGAAAAAAGCCTCATACAAGCGTAAACGTATGTGGGACATCCTATACCAGCGAAAAGGCGGCTCCACCATAGTGGATTAAGGCGGAACCATACACGCGGATGGAAGCACGTAAGAGAGTCGTATTATGGGACATCCTAGCTATACCCGCTATTAGATCATGGCGGACCCATGGAGGCGGACGGAACCATACAAGCATGACGTATTATGGGATGTCCCATACCAGAGAAAAGGCGATACCACCATGGTGGAGTCACACGCTGGTATCGCTTTTTCACTGTTATACAGGGCGATTTTTCGAAGCTTTACATATTTGTATAAAAAGGTCGTGACAGCTACACTTATGCGGTTTGTGCACGTGAGTTATGCGGTCAGGGGTACGTAGTATAGGGGCCTGATCGTAACGATCAGTCGGATAATCTAATAAAAATTGTTGATTAACTTTTAAATTAGGGAGAATAAACATGTGGTTTCAATTAGAAACTTGCTGAGAGTCATCGAAAACCACTAAATCAATTCTTTTTTAGGGGGGTATAACGCATTGGTAACATTTCACGCATTCAGTAAAAACACATCATTTGGATGCGTTTCTAGGTTTCAGTATCTTATCGGAGTGCATCTCTGCGTCCACGGTCCTGTTCCCCAAGGGCTTAGACGTGCAACACACGTGCGTCCTCATTTCCTCCATCCTACGAAAGAGGCGAGAAGGTGGCTTCGCACTGCGGCCACCGGGCAGCACGATCGCGGGCGCAAAGATGCTCTCTGATAAGAAACCGAAGGCTGGAAACGCATCCAAATTTAGCTTTTTTTTAGAACAACGTGAAAATGCTGGTTTTGTCTTATATCTCCACAAAAAAAGTTAATTTACTGTTTTTTGATTATGCTTAGCAAGTTTCTAATTGGAACCATGAGTCTATTTTTCCTAATTAAAAATTTAAGGAACATACTATAGTTAAAGGGAGGCTGAAGCGGTTTTCTATATGAGAAAACACATTTAAATCTACAATTGACCTCCAGGATCTCAAATATCAAAATTATTTCTTAATTTGGTGAATCGAGGGTGCATAGAATCATTTTCAAAGTACCACTGAGGGTACTGTTTCCCGGAGAGTGACGTCAGAGAAGGAGCCTTCGAAATCTCCGCTAACACATCTCCAGCGCCTATCAAAGCAATGCACGCACACGCTATGTTCTAAAAGGGCAGAAAAAGACGTCACGACTGGTGCCAGTGCAGAAGGATATACCTAAAAGCTTGCGATTGGACGCGCGGCCCTCGAGATCCTCTTACGACGTCACTACTTGTCGAATGTTTATTGTGTTTCCTCATGTTTAGTTATATCTTTGGGGAAAACGAACGGGATATTCAGATTCACTGGATAAAACTGCACTAGAATCAACCTTTATCTTGTTTTCTTAAAGAAGCCTTGCACTTCCTTTTAATAAACCGGCTCATAACTACAATTATCCCTTATACTATACCGCCCTGGCCATATAACTTACGTGCACAGAGTGCGTAAGAGAATCTTTTACGGCTTTTTATCGACAAATCTGTAAAACATACCAAAAAAACACCCTATATAGAATGTCCCCTAAAACGATATGTCTGTATGGTTCCTTCCCCGTTTGCATCGTTTAGGAGAGACTGGCGGACATCCAGCCTCCCATTGGAACGCTGCATGTCAGCGAGTCTCTACATTAGCGAGTGGTTTCAAACAAGCATGATGTTTGCACATCAATAAGCTCTCGTCCGAAATCCTCGAGGAGCGCTAAGAGCAGTGGCGAAATGCAGTGACGTGGTAAATTTCGTAGCGAGTATTTATTTCTAGAAGAATTGCATACAGCAAAACTTAACTTTGCTCAACAGATGACAATTATAAATTCAATACTGAACAAAGATGTTTCTTGAGCTGTCAGGCCAAACTCCCACTCTTGCCACTCCGAAGATCCTAACTTGTGCGTAGAGGATCAGCACAACCCACAGTTGTGCTGCGAGCACACCTGCGATATAAAAATTGAACAAACATAGATGAAAAATGAAAAAAAAAAAAACGTTTACAATTCTCTCTAATGCGAAATTAGAGCGCAGCTCTCAAAAAGGAGGATGGGAGGGTATTTCACTCCTCCCCCTCCCCTCTTCCTCTTCTGCCCCCGCCCATTTAGCAGGAAATTTTCCTAAATTTATCCGGAAAATTTTCCCACTAAATTTAACGGGGAAATTATTGTCACGTGACCTCGACACCAATTCAATTTTCCCTCTGGATGTAGCGGGGAAAATGACGTCGCATGACTTTGTGTCACGTCAACCATAAACAAATTCAATTTCTCCCCTAAATTTAGCGAGAAAAATAACGTCACATGACCTCAACGTTAATTCCATTTCCTGTCAAGTTTAGCGGGGCAATTATCCCGACGGCGACGCCGCGA